CCTATAGATACATAATTTAGAAAAATGCTAATGACCAGCCATATATATATGGCATACATATGGATTTAGTTTTAATTTTCTTTCTTTTTTAAAAATATATATTTATTATGTATACAATATTCTGTCTGTGTGTATGCCTACAGGCCAGAAGAGTGCACCAGACCCCATTACAGATGGTTGTGAGCCACCATGTGGTTGCTGAGAATTGAACTCAGGACCTTTGGAAGAGCAGGCAATGCTCTTACCCTCTGAGCCATCTCTCTAGCCCCCTAGTTTTAATTTTCTTACTGGAATAAGAGTATCTTCAATTTGCTTAAGATGATGAATTAATGCTAGAATACCTTCATAAAGGCCAGGGATGAGCTCAGTTGATACCGACAACTTGCTTAGCATGCATAAGATCTTATTAAATCCCCAGCACCACACATACAATTGCTAATCTGTTAAAAATAAAATTGCTTCTTTTTATAAAATAGGTGGATGGAGAGAGAAAGAAAAGGCTAGAGAAGAGAGTTGGGGTCCACCACGAGAATCAAGACCATCAGAAGAACGTGAATGGGATAGAGACAAAGAGAGGGATAGAGACAGTCAAGATCGAGAGGAGAATGACAAGGACCCTGAACGAGAAAGGGACAGAGAGAGAGATGGAGACCGGGAGGATCGCTTCAGAAGACCCAGGTTGGAATTACCCTACTTGTAGTTCTCTTACACTTTGCTTTGCACTCCAAATCATTTTTGATAAGTAATACCATTTAGATAAACAGAGTATCTAGAAAGTAAAAAAAATGGGGCTGTGGGGGGAAGTTAACTCTTATTGGCTGCCTGCAGGTTGTTTAGCAGGTAAATGGGCCAGTCTGGGTGTCTACTACTCCTGTTTCTTAGAGCAATGAATTATCTGAATTGTCTTTAAATTATCCTTTCTTGTTGTTTTTTGAGAAGATGAAGTGTTAATGTGTAGCTTAGGATGACCTGAATTCCAGTTTTTATCCAGCACTCATATGCTGAGATTTATAGTCTGTTGACAACACACCCAGTTATTAGTAGCAGTAAAAGTTCTAGCAAATCTGGTGGGGAAGGTTCTCTGTATTTTGTCCAGCATGGCAGGCAGCAGCTTCATGTGGCTAGTAATCTAGCTCTAGGAGTATGGGTTGTGCTGTTGTAGGTGAAGTGGTCTAGGTGCCTTAGATACCAGATTGAGATTGAGGTGTTGGGAGTTTAAACCTCAGAATAATAAACTAGATTTGGTGTGTTATGTGTGTCTGTGTCGTCCCCTCCCACCCCACCCCCGCACCACACATACTTGTTTTTGTTTTTTTGAGGCAGGGTTTCTCTGTGAAGCCCTGGCTACCCTGGATCTCATTCTGTAGGTCAGGCTGGCCTCACACTTGTATGCACCACCACCCATGAGGCTGGTGTGTTGAAATTACCCAGGTATTCTACCAAGAGCTGAACTTGTTACTTTAAATGGCTACAGGGATGAAGGTGGCTGGAGAAGAGGACCAGCAGAAGAATCTTCAAGCTGGCGAGATTCAAGTCGCCGTGATGATAGAGACCGGGATGACCGTCGTCGGGAAAGAGATGATCGTCGTGATCTGAGAGACCTGAGAGAAAGAAGGGATTTAAGAGATGATAGAGACCGGAGAGGACCTCCCCTCAGATCAGAGCGAGAAGAAGGTAGAGAGACATTTTGGGAGTCGGAATGAACAGTTTTGTGGCAGGATTGGGGCTTTATATAATTATCTTTGGGATTTATATGAACATTGAAAATAAGAGCAAATGTAGTGTACTTAGTTATCAGCTTGTGTATAAGGCAAGTGTACAATAGACTAAATGATAAGTAGCAGAAACTGGCGAGATTGGAGAAAACAGTATTAATTGTATAAGGTCCTGGTGTGTGAACACAGGTGTGTAAATGCAAAGACACTCTGGGGCTGGTGAGAAGGCTCAGTGAGTGAAGCTCTTGCTTGGCAACTTGATGTCAGACCTGGGGACCTACATAGTAGAAAAAGAACTCACTCCCTGAAAGCTGTTATCTGTACTCACTCACATCCCTAACTGTAAACACCTAAACAATATTTTAAATTTCATCTATTTGTTTTTGGATTTTTTTTTTTTGAGGCAGTGTTGTGGCTGTGTGTAACCCTAGCTGTCCCAGAATCTGTAGTCCAGGTTGGCCTAGAATTCAGATCTGCCTGCCTCTGCCTTCCAAATGATGGCATTAAAGGTGAGCACTGCCACCACCACTTGGCAACAACAACAACAACAACAAATTTTAAGTATTTTTAGTTAGTTGAAGATGTCCGTTGTACTTCCGTGCTTTCCTTACATGGTTTTTAACAGTTTGCTCGCTCATCGGGATCAGAAGAGTATTAAAACTATAACTTGAAATCTCACATTTTATGATTCATTTGCTAAAATTCAAGAGCCAAAAATTCTATTTTGGACATTTTTATTCTGATAGTTTTTATCCTGTGTTCTACTGTTAAGATATTTCTTTTTTTTTCTTTCTTTTTTTTGGGGGGGGGGGTTGAGACAGGGTTTCTCTGTAGCTTTGGAGCCTGTCCTGAAACTCCCTTTGTAGACCAGGCTGGCCTCGAACTCACAGAGATCCGCCCGTCTCTGCCTCCCGAGTGCTGGGATTAAAGGTGTGCGCCACCACCGCCCGGCTCTGTTAAGATATTTCTATGGTCAAGGATTTCTGTTTGTAATTTTTCAATTATGTCTACAAGTTCATATTTTAAAAGGTTTTTTTTTGTCAGAAATGACAAAATTAAAGTGTGGACAAATAATTAAAATGACAACAAATTAATTAAAAAGTGTGATTCTGCATTGTTGATTTTTCTCAATAGTTTAAGGTGGGCATTCCTTTTGCTTCACTTGTTTATTTTGAACCAATAAAATAGTTCAAACTTAGACTTTATTTTTTTTTCTTTACTTTTCTAGCAAGCTCTTGGAGACGAGCTGATGACAGGAAAGATGACCGGACTGAAGAACGGGATCTACCTCGTCGTGTTCCTCCCCCAGCTCTTTCAAGAGAGAGGGAGAGAGAACGAGAAGGTGAGAAAGAGAAAGCATCCTGGAGAGCTGAGAAAGACAGGGAATCCCTTCGTCGTACTAAGAATGAAACTGATGAAGATGGATGGACAACAGTACGACGCTAAGGCCCAAGACGATGGAGTCAAACTTGTGTCTTACCACATAGGTTTGATCACATTCAAGGATTATTATACTTGTGCTTCACCCAGACGGTCTAAATTGAATTCTTTAATGTTGTCTCACCATAACACAAAAAGCATGAACTTGTATTAATCATATATAATAGATTGATCATGCACTGTATTCACAGGAGGTTGAAAAACCATGCCATTTTCTGGAATTTAAGGTGTTGCATTATTTCATCAATCATTTGTTTAAAAAAAAAACCTAAAAAATAAAAATGAACCCTTCAGGTGTTAACACCTATATCTTGGTATACAATTGATCTTTTTGTTTTGTTTTGAAATACCAAATTAATTTGGAATAAGGTAAGGTTCTGTTAAAATATTTGAAAACCCTTTAAGCCAACAGATCTGACAGTTTTCCCATCATTAGTGGGGACATACTTTCTTGGGTATTTACTATTAACTACATTTAGGCTATAGCTTCTGATCAGTCCAGTATATATTACAAACACTGGTTGCAATGGGTTTCTGTAGACTACTTGAGAGAGGTGAGTATAAGCATTTTGTAGTCATCATGGCACTGCTCAGGTGCAAATCAGAACAGGACAGCTTTGGGTTCCTAGAGCATTTGGTAAACTTTCTTTTTTTCTGTTGCCAAAAGAAAACTGCTTTCCCACTAATTCATGCCTTTCAAGCATTTTAAATATGACAATATTTATAAATGTGTGGTTTGGAGGAATTGTTTAAATTTTTTCCTAATTTCCTTTCTTCAGGATAGATTATTTCAACAAGTAATTTGTAGTGATGACTGTGTTGACTTCAATTTTGGAGTGTAGTAGCTGTGTTAAAGAGTAATAACCATTTGGTCTTATTGAAGCCAACACAGAACTTGCTGCTGTGTTTTTTCTTCAGTGATAAATAAAATACTTACATAATTGGTGTTAGTGTTAATTTGTTAATGGTGTTATAGTCCATGTATTCAGTTGAGGTTTTGTGAATTTATCAATGCTATTAAAATTTATCAGTGTTAGCAGCAAAGAATAACCTAAAAACACAAAGCAAATGGTAGCAGCTAGCAAGTTTGTGAAGTGTCCTTACCATTCACAGAATCTGTTGGGAAAAGGAAAAACAAAAAAAGCAACAGAGTTGTAGGGGGTTTTGTGACAAACTTTGAGTGGGGGTGGGCTTTATACATTATAAGGTAGTGGTTTAAAAATTTGTTACAACTGTCAGACCAGAAGAGGGAGAGCTGATGCTCTTCTTACTGAATATGTGCTTTTTGTATGGTGCTTCCAAGGATTGGAACTTCAAACATGCAAAAGACCTGGAGATCATTGGTTATATTTGAGACAGTAACCTCCTATATATGCATTTACTTGTGAGCCAGACACTACCGTGATGCCAGAGATAATCCCCAGCAAGTGGTTATTTTAATCAACTACATATAGGTGAATGCATATGGTGGGGGTAGCCTGTAGATCTATCTTTGCAGCTTAGCTGGGGTTCTAGACACTGTCTGCATTCTTGTTGTTCTGGGAGAGAACCCAGAGAACAGGGTAGGGGCAGAAATAGCTGATGCTTCTGTGGTCTAGCTCGTGGGATTCCACTATCACAGCGCTCTCTCCATACATTTAACAAATTAAAGGAAAGCTGATTAATCTCTAGGTGAAAAATCCCTATGGCTTTTGGCAGTTGTAAACAATGGAACCTTACAGCTCCTGTAGCTGTTCTTGAAGGTAGAGAGGCCCCTCAGAAGATCTTTATCATGCTTGCCCAGCCCATAGGGTGCCAACCAGGAAGGGGTTTGAACCTATGTGTAGGTATAGTCAATAACCACCAGTACCACATGACATTTAATCTCAGAACTTTGTTGGGGGAGGCAGAAGGATACTGAAATCTCCAGGTCAGCATTGGCTGGTGAGACGCAGTCTCAAAAACTGTACTTCCATATGTTGTATTTTCCCCAAAGATATTTTGGCTGTTACAACAGAACTACAAGACACTGGAGGGAATGTTCTTACCAAGGCGCTTAAGACAACAAAATTAATCTGAAATACATTTGGTAGTTTTGAAATACATGGTTTTGGTTTAATATATCTGACAAAAGTTCTAATCAAAGCTATTTAACTTCTGAACAGGGTTTTGTAGGAAAAATAAAGTACAAGGGAGTAAAAAGCCACTAGAATTAACAAGTTTGGACAGACAGGCTAAAGCATAGCACAGCCTATTGTGCTCATGGAAAAGGTGTTACAGGGCTGTACCTTTTGTGGTTCAACCATAGAAGCCAACCTTGTCACAGTTTTGTATTAAGCTTTGGGTCTTAAGTTTCATTTACTTCTCTGTTATGGGGATTGATCCCAGGGTTTTGTGCATTCTAGGCAAGTGCTCTACTACTGAGTGTATCTCTAGCCCTAAACTTGAGTTTCTACTGTAAACATCTTTACAGAACCTTTATAAATTGTCACATCACATTCCAAGGATTTCTTAGGAATTCTTAGCACTTCTCAGGAGTGCTAGGATTAAAGGCTCATACCTGGCTCCAAGGGTCTATTTCCTCTCAAGCTCTAACACTAGAAAAACCAGTATTTTTTGTTTATATCGAAGACTTTGAATTAGCTGGTAAATTGACTTAGTATAGGGTGGAGAACATGTATGGGATGTGTATACATGTTCTTTGTAATATTTATTATATAATAGTCTATCTGTGTGTATGCCGAAGGCCAGAAGAGGGCACCAGACCTTATTACAGATGGTTGTGAGCCACCATGTGGTTGCTGGGAATTGAACTCAGTACCTTTGGAAGAGCAGGCAATGCTCTTAACCTCTGAGCCATCTCTCCAGCCCCCACATTCCACTTTTTTTTTTTTTTTGTTCACACAAGGTGTTTCTTTGAAGTTCTCCAAACCTGGAGCTAGCCTGCTTCCCCTGTGGTTAAGACCATAGCTTTAAAAAAAAAATCACCCAAAACTGCACATAAATGTGCACATATGTGGAGGTCAGCCTCAGAGGGGATAGTCTTCATGAGCCCACCTAACATGAGATAGGGTTTTCAGCGAGGCTGACCTCTGCGTCAACCAGCACTGGGAGTATAAGCATATTGCCATTCCCATATTTTATGTGGGTGCTGGGGATAGAACTCAGCCATTTCCCCATTTGTTGGTATCACAGATACTTAATGTGAGCACGTTTTTTGGGGTCGCCTTAGTACCACCCACTGAACAGGAATGCATATCTCAACACCCCTGGTTTGGGTAAGGTGTGTGCTCTTTGAAATTCAGGAGTTCCACCAAGGCATGTGTAGTGAAGTTCAAAGAGCTGAATGACTTGATCTTGCCTTTGGGAATGCTCAGTTTTTGAAAAACAGACCAGTTAAGGGAAAGAATGTGAATTTATGTTAACTTGAAAAACTTTGCCCCAAAACAAATGGTTTATTTTTTAGCAAAAGAACAAGAAACTACATGCTTTGTTACTTAAGTTTAGGCCCAGGCCGAGTGGAATCTGCAGTTCTGTGGGGCTGCAACGGGTATTTTCTTCCTTGCTAAAAATGTCTTTCCATCAACCCCTTCTCCTTGTATATGATATGATGTACCCTGTGGCCCCTACCCCCTTTTACCAAAAGGGTGCACAGCTATTCAGTATTTTTATATCACTCTCTGGTACATGGGAAGCCAGTTGTCAAAATTAAGTTTCATATGAAAGTCTACTCAGTACTGTAGCTAATCTGACTACCGGAAGTTTTATATACTCTTGCCTGGTATTTTCAGATAGTGTTATGTCTGAGTTTATCTTAATTCACTTCCATCTTTGCCTCTTCTGTCTGGATGGCAGTTATATGCCATAGTCCAGCATTCAATGTGATGGATTTACTGGAAATAAGGGGTTAGGAACTTTTGCCTCAAGATCAGGTTCTGGAAGCAGACCAGTAAGAGTGGAATCATAACCAGTAAGGTCATGATACTTGCATCCAACCCTAATTATTAGAGCCTTTAAATGGTGTTTATTTTGGCACACCTGTATATCTGAAGGCAGACAGCCCAGAGTACAACCTTCTGGATCTCAGGTTATTATTGCTTCATAGTTTCCCATTTTCTATTTAGGAAGCCTGAAATGGAACAATCAAGGTGAATTAAAGCACTGTTCTTGGGTTTCCTCCTTTCTGATTTTAGCATCAGACATGATAAAGAATTGGACAGGTTGGGGAATGGTGCATAGAGGAAATGCTAAGTAGGAGTTGCAGGGGAGATTAATGGATTCGTATACTGTCACTGTATATATACACAAGTCTCTTAAACAGCACCATTTCCAAATATGAACATGACATGATTAGGACTTGGCACAGTTAATTTTAAGGGTAGGAAGGGCTACTTATTAATTCAGTAGAATATCGGATACATAAAAGGTTAAGAACGATTCTACCTGCTACAGATTGTGCCTTTAAACCTCCCAGTTAAGACAGAAACAAGTCACGATGAGGAACACCCTCTTAAATTAATACTGGGACGTGTACTGAATTGTTTTACCTGCAAATAGAGTAAGGACAAACTTAAAAAGTTAATAAATTGCATCAAACAAAATAGACGTTTGCCGACATTCCATAAAATGGTTAGTTTTACACACTAAAGTTCAGAGGCTATTAAAAAATACTCTAGACCTAATAAAGTGCCTCCATTCATGAAACGAAACATCCCAAATCAGAGACAATTTCATAATGATGCGCACCTAAAATAGGCCGACGTATACAATAAGCAACTCCAGTAGCCACTTAAAGCCGGTGGCATACTCGTTCAGTCCTCACGGTTCTGGATGCGCGCTTTTAGAAACTAGAGACAAAATTCAAGATTTCAACGTCAGAGACCCGACCATTCCGCTGGAGACTGCTGCGCCCCGCCGGCTTCCGCAAAACGAAGACCACTTGCAAAGTTGAGTCACAGGAAAGGAGGCGCGACCATGACTTCAGGTGTCCACAGCCCGGTTCTAGCGCAGCTTCTTGCTGGGCAGGCTGTCCCTGGTGCTGCGCAGCGGCGGGCGGGCAGCAGGCGGTGGCACTTTGGAAAGCGGGCAATATTTGATGGTGTGTGCGTTGTCGCCGCTGGCACCGCACAAGGGGCACGTGTAGCGGCGCAGAACCGGGCAGAGCACTCGGCCGTCGGGGCCCTTGAGGATGTGTGTGGTGTAGAGCGCCACCGCCTCCTTGTTGTTTCGGCAGAACACACACACCTGCAGCTCTGGTTTCAGCAGACGTGCGGCGGCCGCCCCGGAGGCCGCGTGCAGACGAGGCTCGGGCGCCCACGCAGGGCCCGGCACCTCTCGCGGCGTCACCTCGGCCGTGGGGGCGGCGGAGGCGGCGGGCGCGCAGCTCAGCAAAACCGCGGCGGCGCGCCCTGCGAACGGGTTTAGCTCAGCGAAGCGCTCCTCCAGCAGCCCGGCCTCGGCAGTGCCGGCGCACAGCTCTAGCGCGCGCAGTTCCAGCGCGCTGCCCAGGTAGCGGTCCCGAGCCCCTGGCTCATCGCCATCGTCGTCCTCTTCGTCGTCGGGCGGCTCAAGCGTGGGCCCCGCCGCCAAGGGCCCGGACCTTTCGTGCGAGGAGCAGTGGGACGAGGAGGGCGGGGAGCTGCGGTCTCCAGCCCTGGTGATGAGCGTGGCGAGCCCCAGGTAGTCGTTCCAGGAGCTGAAGGGCTGCGGGTGCACCGGGCCCGGGGCGCTAATGTAGCGGGCGCTGGGCACGAGCGCCATAGGCGCGGGGGCGCGGGCGCGGCGGGGCGAGCGTGGCGCCCAAGGGAAAGCCTCCATGGGCCGGCAGCGGGCCGCGCGCCTCCCCGCCGCCGGCACAGGCCGGACGGAAGGGACGCAAGAGCCTGCCCACCGGCCTGCCTCGGGGTGGGGCAGCCTTGCCTCCTTTTATCGCTCCCGCTTCCCCCGGTGCCCCTCCTCTCTGTCTCGGCCCTGCCCCCTGCGATCCTCCGCCGGGGCCACCGCGCCCGCGCCCCCGGACGGAGGCGGAGCGGAGGCGGGTGCGCGCTCCTCTCCAGCCCCGCGCGCCTCCTGCGCCCCGCGCGCTGCGCCCACCTCTCCAGCTGCGGGGCGCCTGGCATCCTGCGAGGGGGCGGGTGAGGCGCCGCCTCGGGCCCTGACGCTCAATGGCTGTCGACCTGACTCTGCGAACGCCGCTCGGGATGCTGATTGGTGGTAGCCAGGGAGGAGGCGGGCGGCGGGTGTGTGTGTTGGGGGTGGGGGGTGGGGGGAGGCTTTGCAGAGAGGGCCGGGAGGGGCGGTGGCTGGGGCTAGCCTTCGCCCCAGTGTGGGGACTGCCACACTTGCTTTTCTCTCTGCGGGGTAGTGAGATGCCGTGGACTCAGATCGCGACCGAGCCACTGGGATACAAGTATCCACCTGCAGCGTTGGCTGGACCGGGGGTGGGGGTGGAGGTGGGGGGAGAGTTAAGGTCTGAGACCACCATTTCCCCTTGCCTTTCAATGTCATCAGCAAGAAAAGCTGTGAGAGGCAGAGCTAGGCGCCATCTCCCATCAAAGCCCAACTAGAGACCCAGTGACTTCCTTTGGCACAACGCTTCAGAGCTCTTTCCACAGGGTGAATCCTCCCACAAACTTTGAGGCTCAGGGAAGAAGCTCACGGAAGTAAATGGTAGAGAATCATAGCAGGTTCAACAGGTGTTCAGAAACTGGGGGCAGTAAGATACTTAGATGGTATTGAGGAATGAGTCAGAAATTCTTTCTATGGGCCTGTTTGCTTGAAGCTCATCTTCTGGGGTCTTATATTGAAGTCTAGAGTCTGTGCAACTTGCAAAACAGCGTATCCGATGCTTTGAAACGAGTAACTTTTTTTTTTTTTGGCAAAACCCTGGAGAATAAAGGACTTATTAGGAGGGAAAGAGGCAACTTAAAATGCAAACACCAACAACTTCAAAAAATAACTTGAAACTTCGAAAATGTGACGTGACCTAGGATGAGAGACAGAAAAACACCTTTGTTGGCTGGGCAGATAGGTAGGAGAGCTGATTTTGTTTTTCCCACTTTGCACCATACAGTGTCCTTGGAAGCGAGGAGGTAGGATCCCTAATGCTATCAGCTTGCTTTAGGTGACAAGCCACAGTCACATGACTTGCCGTGCCTAGCACGGGATGCTCGGAACTTGGTTCTGGCTTGGGTTAATGTTAGAATGAATGTGTGAATGGTGAAACAGATCAGCCATGAGAAGAATCTTTGGGATCATCTTTTCTTTATGGGTGACAAAAATGAGACCCCCAAGAAGAGATGGAGTTCCTGAAGGTCAAACAGTGACTATGTTACAGTCACAATTAGGACTCTGGCCTCATTACTCCTGGCCAAGTGACCTCCCCAAATACCATGGCACAGAAGATATTTCAGGCTAGGTTGGTGTTATCATCAGTGGGTAGCTGGAAAGAAATAAGTTGGAATGATGGATTTGTCTTTGTTTGAGGCCCTGCCTGCAAGGAGCTATACAAATCACACTGGAGGTACAGGATCAGGCCTGAAGCAAGAAAGGAACACCTGAGCTGGGCAGTAGTGGTGCATTCCTTTAATCTTAGTCCTTGGGAGGCAGAGCAGGCAGATTTCTGTGGGTCCGAGGCCAGTCTAGTCTACAAAGCGAGTTCCAGGACAGCCAGAGCTGTTACACAGGAAGAGAAACCTTGTCTTGATAAACCAAACAAAAAAGAAAGAAAGAAAGTGACATCTGTTCTGACCAACTGTCAAGTTAGGGCTTGAAGATATGTATTTTATATTCTTTCTCATGCCCTAGCTGCCAGTGTTTGGTAGCGACCTAAAGCCATGCACTTGGCAATGTGGTTCCTTTTTAAAGTTTGTGTTGGCTTTCAGGCTCAAAGTCACCTTTATTTCCTCCCTCTCTCCCACCAAAAACAAACAGAAGAACTCGAGCGCTGTGGGTCTCCCACAGAAGCCTGGCAGGTTTGCTGACACCGAACTCGAGCTCTTACCACACGGTGGCCCCCAGAGGGGTATGAAGATTATGATTCTGTAAATGGAAAATTCCACTCTGTACATGTGTCTACGCTGTCTGCATACTTTCAATGTATGCAGAGATTTCAAGCTCTGAAGACTCCTCTTAGCCCTATTCTGAGAGAAACACTTCAGCAAGCAAAGTTTAAACCTGGTCAACTTCCTTTGGGTCAGACTAGAGCCAGAAAGGCAAACAAGAGACAGACCCTTTGCCTTCCTCCACATGTTTCTTAGTTCCTGTGGTTGAGTGAGAACAAAACGATTTTATTGTGTTTTTGTGTGCCCATTCTGCTCTCCACTTGTGTGTGTGCGTGTGTATGTGTGTGTGTGTGTGTGTGAGAGAGAGAGAGAGAGAGAGAGAGAGAGAGCGCATGCGATACACTGCAGTATGAGCCTGAAAGTCAGAGGACAACTTTCAGGAGTGAGGTTTCTTCACCTTTGTATGGGTTGAACCTTGACTGTCAGGCTTGCAAGGCAAGTGCTTTGTCCTGCTGAACCGTCTTGACAGCCCAAGGATAAAATGTTTACACGCCTTGGGTAGTTCCTGCAGCCCGAAGGCACGGGTGCTGGTAGAAAGAGGTCCTGGAAGGGTGTAAAAGGAGCGTGTGTATCCTGGGGCACAACTTCATGAGTTGCTGCTTCCCACGGCCACTCTCACTCTCGAGTGTTAAGTAGATGTTTGACCCAGAAAGAGAGTTTGAAAATAAGATCATGAAGGCTTTTAAATGTCCTTGGGTGCACACATGGCTTCCATACGAAGGGAGGTTTTGCTAATAGTGACTTTGGAACCTCTAGAGTGGGTGGCTGCTCCAGGTATGGGCTAAATAAACATTTACTTTTTGTCACTGAATGTGGGCCTTAGCCTGGCCATGAATTCTCCAGTGTGCGCGCTCCCTCTCTCCCTCTCTCCCTCTCTCCCTCTCTCCCTCTCCCTCTCCCCCCCCCTCTCTCTGTGGAACTGGTAACAGACATATTCCAGTACATCTCATGAAGTTAAACTGCCCGTTCACTCTCCAAGAGTCTGAATGCAGCAGACAGAAATAACCAGTGTGAAAATTTTTGTTTTTGTTTTAATAAAATATACTCATACATTGGAGGAAAGAAGGCAGGTGGACATGGACCTCGTCTCAGCTCCCTTTTGAAGTGGGCTTGACTGGCTGGACAGAGGCTGTGGTGGGCAGGGTGGGCGTGGGGGTGCTGTTTGTGCTGTGTTCCTTTCTCCACACACTCCTAGCCTGACTGTTAACTTTGTTGGAAGAAGAACTGAGCTGCACACAGACTGTGGGTGGATTGAAGCATGACCTCTCCAGACTTTACCTCTGGGTTATGAGGCAGTTTGGCCAGGTACCAGAAAGCTAGAGATACAGCTTGTTGGGCAGTGGTTTCTCACCGGCCTGCTTGCCAGGCTCTGGTGAATACCTCAAAGTGCTCTTTCCTACTGTGGGCTTTGTAGGCAGGCCCAGTGAGAGGCACGGGGGATCTGTTTGGAGGACCTTGACCTTAGCCTTGCCATACCTCTGGCCAACTTTTGCTTAATGCTCATGCCCTGTGAAGTCATAGAGCTGGACATGGCAGAGACACCCCTGTGTGAAGTGACTTTACTAGGCTCTGGTGGGGCTTTGAATGAGAGACTTAAGGTCTCTGGGCCCCAGTCCCTTCCTGTGAGCCTTGAAGGGGCTCCTCAGGGAAAATGGCAGCCACCCTGCCCTGCTTTCCTAATTCTGTGTCCCACCCTCACCTTGTAACTTGGGATAGGTCTAAGGCAAGCAGAGATACCTCGCTTTTATGGCTCCCACTGAGTGAGAAGGCTGGTGATCTAGCCATAGCCCTTGAACTTGAGATGTAAGCAGATATCCGTAAGAGGGTTCTTAGGAAGGAGTTTTCTCCATACTTAAGACAAAACCCTTAAAACTAAGGCCCAGAGAACCTCGCAGAAGAGAGGGCAGAAAGGTTATAAGAGGCAGAGGACCAGGATGTCTCAATGAGATAGTGTTTTCTACATATGATAGGAAGCTGTGTCCATGAAATCTTAGCAGTGTGGTTGCTGAAATAAGACCTGAAAAAATGACAACAGCAGTTGAAATGCCAATGTGAATGGGGAAAATTTCACAAGCTCTCATCCCTAGAGGAAGAACTACAGTTAAGTAATGGTTGCTGAGAGAGGAAGTCGTCTCCAGGCAAGAACCCAATAGATTGTCTGGTCCCTAGTGTCAGTTCTAACACACATAGAAGCAACACTTTGGAGGCAGAGACAGGTGGGTCTCTGTGAGTTCAAGGCCAGTATGGTCTACATAATGAGACCTGATTTAAAAAATAAAAAAAAAAAACAAAGAAAGAAACAAAAAAGAACGAGAATAAAAAGGGACACAGAAGCTGGAGGGAGGACAGGAAGGGAGGAAATGATATAAATACAGCACTCACATATGAAAGTCTCAAAACAAATTTTCATATAACAAAATCCAAAAACTCAGTATGTACCAGGAAATCCCTTCCTCGACTCATTTATGGAGCTGGAGGTAATGAGGCTTCAGGATAAAGCTGACATCATGGTGGGTTACTGGAAAGGCTTATTTTAAAAAGCTGTGGTTACATTTTTGTTGGTGACTTGTTACATGACATAATTAAATGTCTTTGTGGTTGGGGTGCTTGAGTCGGATCCTCTTACTTACTTACAGCTGGCTTTACTTCTCCACTGGAATTTTGTGGTCCTGTGAAAATTTGTCACTTGTCTAAAAGGATGCTTTGTTCTGGTCAGACAGAGGTGACATCTGTGTCAGAGTCCCCCCTTCTGTGCTCCCTCTCTGCCTCCCTCCCTCTCTTTCTTTTTCCCTGTTTGAGTTAAGGTCTAATTATGCAGCTCAGGTTGGCCTGAAACTTGATGTTTACGTAGCCAAGGCTGGTCCCCTAAGTCAGGATTCTCCTGCCTCTACCACCTGAGTGCTGGGATTAACGGTGTGGGTCACCTTGCCTTGCACTATGTCAGGATTCTGTGTATGTGGACAAGGGCTGGAAGAGAATCAGGAGAATCAGATCAGGGCATCTCTTCTCTCACTCCTTG